TCCTTTTTCTTTGCTTTGTTTTCCCCTCTTATCTTCCTTTTTTCTCCTTCTCCTCCTCTTCTTCCTCTCCCTTTTCTCCTTCTTGTGTTCTCCTCCTATTCTTCCTCCTCTCCTCCTCTTCTTCACCTTTTCCTCTTCTTTCTCCTCTAGCATTCAAAGGTTAAGAGTTTTGTTATTCCCTCCACCCCTGGCAGAATATCCCTTGTCAGTCTTCGCTTCCTCTCTTTCAGGACGGACCCCGGGAGTTTGTGAACCCAAGAATGGAGAACACAACAATACGCTACGCCGAGAGCTCAAGCAGTTCTTTGGATGGATGCGGAAACACGGGACTTGTGCCAATTTGAGCATCAAAATGTATGATCAGTGGCGGGTGGCACTGCAGAAGTCCCACAAAACACGCAACCAGGTAGAAAAGGACACCTGAGTTTTGACTGAAAAGCAGGGGGAAATCATCCAGTCTGTACAAGGATGGGAGTAGAGCCACTCACTGCCTCCAAGGGATGTCTTACCTATTTAGAGAGAGCTGGATGGAAATTGAGTTGACTAGGCTGAGTACTGAAAATTATTGAGGACTAGAACAGTGATGGTATTCAAATTTTACTACTGGTTCTGTGGGCATGGCTTGGTGGACGTGGTGTGCTTGATGGGAATGGCTTGGTGGGTGTGGCAGGGGAAGGTTACTGCAAAATCTCCATTCCCTCCCCACCCCACTAACCTGCTTTCCAGCTCCGTTCTCCTGTGCAGGGCAACCAAAGAAGGCCCAGTCGATTAGCTGGGACTCAATGGGAAGCAGAGAAGAGAAGGGGGCAGGGCCAGTCAGAGGTGGTATTTGCTGGTTCTCTGAACTACTCAAAATTTCCGCTATCAGTTCTCCAGAACCTGTCAGAACTGGCTGAATACCACCTCTGGACTAGAATCTTATAGATTAATAGAGAATTTACCTCACATTAAAAAGAAGGCGATGCTCAAACTGTAGGCAGAACTTGATCTTACAGCTGCAAATTCTGTCCTTTTGCATTTAGGAGACAGCTTTGTAAAAAGGCGTTTTCAAATTCTTTAATTTTCAATGAAAAGACTCATTGGTTTACTTATTATTACATTAGATTCTTATCCCATTTTAAAATAAAAGTATTTTTGGTCAACTCAAGAAGGTGAACTATACCTAATATGGGTAGTCCTCGACTTATAATAGCAACCGAGCCCAAAATTTCTGTTGCTTAAGCGAGGCAGAGGTTGTTTTGCTTCGTTTTATGACCTTTCTTGCCACAGCTGTTAAATGAGTCACTGCAGTTGTTAAGTTAGTAACACGGTTAAGTGGCTTCAGCTTCCCCCATTGACTTTGCTGGTCAGAAGTTCGCAAAAGGGGATCCCAGGACCCTGCAACCGTCATAAATATGAACCAATCGCCAAACAGGTGAATTTTGATCACGTAACTGTGGGGTTGCTGCAACAGTGTAAAAAAATGGTCATAAGTCACTTTTTTCAGTGCCATTGTAACTTTGAACAGTCACTAAATGGATGGGGTTATAAGTCAAGGACTACCTATGCACCTGTTTTCCCCAGCACGACAATTCTGTGACATGGGTTGGTCTGAGAGGTAGGGACAGGCCCACGATTCACCAAAATGGGGGGCATATGAAAACCAGAAATTGCTTTTAACTAGAACCGAACAGAATAGAATATAGACTATAGAATAGAATAGAATAGAATAGAATAGAATAGAATAGAATAGAATAGAATAGA